GGCTCGGCTGAGCCGCTCGTACAGCAATAGCCCGTACAGCTGCCCTTCGGTTCAACTGAACCGAAGGGCTCCGGCGGCCGAAGAGATCCTTCGGCTCTTTAGTGAATAACCCCCTTTGTCTCGTCTTACCCTGATTAAATCAGCACAGCCATTTGCACAGCGTTACTGCCACTAGATGGAGCTGAGGAGCATAGGAAATCCTATGCAGGCAACACTCAGGGGCTGATGTATAAAACTTCCTAAGTTAAGTGTGATGTATTGACAACGTTGCCAATTTTAATATAAGGTTCTTGTCACCGTGTTTGCTGTGTTCATACTCTCCTAAATGTATAAATTATATTTTTCTAATCAATAAAGTAAGCCAATTGGCTGATTAATTATCCAATTTTGGTTGGAGTATAACTTCTTTTTCCACCTCATTGCTCCACATAGAGGTGGTATTCTTACATATATGCTTATAGGTTATCAACCATATCGGTTGATGTGTAATTGTTACACACTATAGTGGTATCTTTTTATTGTATAAAACTTCCTCCCAGCGTATTGCTGGGCGAAGGCTGTTCACATGACATTACTGTCACTAGATGGAGCTGAGGAGCATAGATAATCCTATGCACACAACACTTTAGGGCTGATGGTTAAAACTCCCGCCCAGTGTATAGCTGGGTGAATGCCATTCACAGGGCATTACTGCCACTAGATGGAGATGAGGAGCATAGGAATTTCCTATGCAGGAAACACATAGTTCACTGAAGGAGCTCCCATGGCGTGCTCACCGTGCTGCTGTTACTTGTGAGGCTCAGGCTTAGTGTTGTCAGCCTGCAACAGGAAGTGCTGTTAATGTTATGTAAAAAAATCGGCAACCAATTCTTGGGCCTACAGCCCACTTGAAGCCTCGCACCTTTTTATATCCTCATGATCCTGTTGAAATACCTCCTGAGAATGCAGCTTCTTGCCTTCAAATTGCAGCGCTCTGTGCTGGCAGAGCTGAGTAACAGCCACACCCCTCATCACAAAGACTTGTACTGCAGAGAAGGGGAGGCAGTGTCTCTGACCATTTACTGAGAGCTGATTTCTTGGAGCCCCGGATCTAACATTGGTGCCTATTGGACTTCATGGTCATATTTAGAATAGGAAAGTCCATTAAAATGGAAATTATGAATACAATGTCTATCGCACGGCATGCCTGTTTCTATCAATAGTTCTGTTGGGGTTTAATTACTGTGCAGCTTCTTGATAGATAAATCCCAGTGTGCTACAGGAAACTGATACCCCCGTGGCTGACAGATTTCATTATTACCGATGAGTGGCTGAGCCTGAGATTAATCAGCGGAAGAAGTGTTAAAATGGAAAGTAGAATTACCTGTGAACATTCATTGCACACAGAAAATACTCTTCCACCTGGCAGCCAATCAGATTTAACGTTTCATCACAGCCATCAGATTGTCTATAGATGACTGTGATTGTCAATGGGTTGCTGTGGGCTACTACCCTCCGTGCTTTGCTCTCTGTTAGTCCTTCCAAAACCATTATATCAGTTATCACTGGATGCTGGAGAGCATGTAAAATAATCCCTGGTGATCCTGCCATGGAGATCCTTGTCCAGGCATTTCCTGCTAAAGGCTGACAACGCTCTGTTACTGTCTCTCAATTGTGCTCCTGAGTGGTCACCCTGTCACATGGACTTATAATAGAGACCACAAGTACGCAATGAAACCTGGACGCTTGGACCTTTGTTGAACTCAGCCAGAGATCGGACTCTGCAAGCAAGGGTACTGAGTGACCCTCACAGCTTCATTGGTCGATTCTAGCTAGGATGCTAGCGGTTGGGCCGTACATCGTCGTTGATTGCTGGGACGTAGGTGAGCACACCATGACGACCAATGACACCGTGGAGCTGCCGCTGGCCCATGTCCAATGGGCGAATGGCTTGGCCAGTTTGCCCACCTGCCAAACCCCCATTTGTTTCCCAGCAATCAGAGATACTGTGTGGCTTTGCCACCCATTAACAGTTGATGCCATGTGGGCCATACAGAATCATTGATTGCCAAGACACAGACGGAGAGTTTTATTGGGGCGTACTGCTCGAATCATTCACCCCTTTGACGAACTTCAAACAGCTTGGGAATGGGTTGAGCTCATGGTTCTCGATACACCTGCTGTGCCCATTATGAGGAGCTCCCACCATCCCTGTTCTGAGTTCCCGGGTCTGTACACCTGCTGTGCCCATTATGAGGGTCTCCCACCATCCCTGTGCTGACTTCCTGGGTCTGTACACCTGCTGTGCCCATTATGAGGGGCTCCCACCATCCCTGTGCTGAGTTCCCGGGTCTGTACACCTGCTGTGCCCATTATGAGGAGCTCCCACCATCCCTGTGCTGAATATTCCTTCTGTTTTATATTATGGAGAACACAGAGTAGAGTCTACTCTAATTGTAATCACCGACACTGGTTGGGGGAAAAGCCAAAGTCCAGGAAGGACAGAGATAGTCATAGACGGGTATTGTGAGAGGAAGGTTTCACTGCTGGAGACCCCCAAGAGATGTAGAAAGTCAACTGGGGTGATCAGTGGCGGAACTACCGCCGGTGCAGGCGGTGCCCCTGGTCTCTCCGCCGGGAGTGTCGGATCATCCGTTCATCAGACACTCCCGGCGCAGAGATGGGGGGCCCGCCGGATACTGATGGTTGCCATGGCGATAGAATGC